TTAAAGCCTCCAAACTGTAAGAATAAACTCCTGTTTGTTTAAGCCATCCCATTTGTGGCATATTCCTGTCAGAGTGGTATTATGTAACCAGAACACTGAGTAACTTGTGCATGATTACACAGTCATTTAGTGACAGAGCTTCGATTTAGGCCAAAACTCAATGCCTTCAGAGTATTAACTTCTAGGGCTGTTGTGAAGATTCTGAGTTAATAAATATAAGTCCATTAAAGCAGTGCCTGACTCTATCTGTACCATAATTGGCAGGTATCATTATTATCTTAGCGAGAACTTCTGGTGGCACATAGAAATCTCCCTCCCCAGAGGGGGAGACTTGGTCCTGGTGAAATCTTTTGATGGGTGGTTTGCTAGATGCTTTCATATTTACAGTGTAGATAAAACATATATTTGCAACATTAATTTTGGAACTTTTCATGATAGTAAATCTCTTAAGTCCTCATGAAAGCAGTTTTATATGTGTTTAAGTTAGTGTTCTGTTGAGAGCATAAGATAGATTAATTTTACTGTTGCAATTCCTGTTGAAACAGAATTTAGGCAGAATGGCGGTAAACCCTATCTCTCTGTGATTACGGGGAGAGGAAACCACAGCCAGGGAGGAGTTGCTCGCATCAAACCAGCTGTCATTAAATACCTCACAAGTCATAGTTTCAGGTGAGTATAGATTTCTGTTACAGATACTGGCAATGGCTAGGTAAACACACTAATAGTTTGCTTAAAACAATTTGTTAACTAAATGTAACCATCTGATTCCAGCCACAAATTTATGCTTCAATTATAATATAACTTTCCCTGCTATATTTCTCTTGTTTGATTAACCAGAAAAACATGTTTGGTGTTTAAGAAGCCATCTCATAAAACTATTTCTATCATAAATTTAAAATTCTGACAGAAAATAAATACATTTCTTTTTCTTTGATGATGTATTGTGTTGAGGGCTCTGGTTATTAAAGATAAGAAGAAACCTATTGTAGTTTAAGATTTGCTGTTAAATTGTTCTTTTGAAAGAAAATAAGTATTTGTAGATTTGTGGAACTGGGAGACTTATGTTGAAATATGATTATATTTTGGGTATGTGTATTAACTTTAACTTGAATTTATGCATTTTTACAAATTAAATGTCATTCATTAATGATCTTAGTTGACAGACATGAAATTAAGTGGTCATTATTCAATAGCAGAAAATGACAAGAAAAGTCCAAAGATACAAATCTGTTTATTGCTGGATAGAATCTCTGAGGATGTATATCATTTTCTTTCCCACCCTCATTTCAATTAGTGTAGTATGTTTTGTTTATGCCATGTCATAAAATGTTATTTGAGTATATCATAGAAAATGGTTGCATTAATTCTGAGCATGAAAACAGGATGACCTTTCAGAGTTATTTGGACAAAAGGCATAGTTAGACCTGACCATTACCATGTTGGAATTAATTACCTATTTCAAGTTTCACACTGAGAGAGCTGGAGGCGTTGCATGGCCAGATGACTCAGACTTACTGCTATATCAGAGATTTCTTCTTGGTACCGACCTAATACCCAGAAATGCTATAATGTAGTCATCATTGATCTTTGCGCAGTATGTTCTTCTTGTGAAGGTTAAATTCAGGCTTGGGAGGCTTTGAAAAATCTTAAAATTTCAGTAGGTACTGAGTTAGGAGTAACCCCCAGCTTTAGGATTGTATTTGTTTTCATGGTAGATTAAAAACAGCATAAGCAGAGATATTAGTCCTAGATATGATTAATAGTAGAGAATACTTTGGTAATAAACATTATGTTAAGCATAGGCAGCTGAAATTGATTATAGAGATACATTCCTTAGATAGTTTACATTTTTATCTTTAAAATAACTCTTTTCTCATTTTTTGCAGGTTCTCTGAAATTAAACCAGGGTGCTTGAAAGTCATGCTAAAGTAAAATAAGCATCCTTGACTTAAAAGTGTGAAGGTTTGTAGGTTAAAATTAGTTTTGTGCAGTAATTGAGTCAATTCTACTGTAAACAAATCATTTATTAGAAAGTGTCAGTTGTAAAACAGAAGTTATGTTTTTCAGAATTCAAGAGTTTAATTTTGTACTGAATCACATGCCAAGTATGATCCCTGTTAAAAATATTGAAGAGGATTTTTATTGATTAGAAAATGTCTGAAAATTATCAGCTACAATTTTAAAGTTTTACATCCTCTGCTTGTTTCACAGAGAAAATGTTACTTTACCTTCATATTACTTGTTGTTTGACATTCAGTCAAGTCCCAAAGACTTCTCTGAAAGGCTTTTAAAGTGCTTTAAGATAGGGTTCATACCCTTCAAAGGCTTGTAATTAAAAAAAAAAAGTAGTAGTAGTAGTAAAGAAATGAAGTCTAACAAAAACACCTGAATGCTTTCTATTTCAAAACAAAACACATAAAATCACTTCATTTTGCCATGTCCTACAGTAAGGAAGACAAGCTGTTGTGCTTTCTTCTGCTTTTATATGATCCTGATCTCTTAACCTCTGTGTGTGGTGCATTTCTGGGAGGAAAGTTGGCTCTGAGATAATATTGCAGTGTTCCACTTTCCTTAGATAAGTTTTCAGAGAAGGACAAATGATTAGATATATCTATCAAATGCTGCTTCTGGAACTGTCTATGTACATTGTATGTAAGACAGGACTAAACAGCTTTATTTTATATTTAAGACATCTAATTTCTAAGCTGCAGTAAGTCCTATTAACTTGAAACAAGTATAGAAAGGGTATTTTATATAATTGTAAAAGGAATCATTATAATTTTTTAAAGTTTTTTACTTTTATTTTTATAAAGAGCCGAATTTCTGAAAGGCAGTGTTCATTGACTATTGTTTATCTGGTGAGCTAATAATTCCTATTAGTATGTAAATTATAATTTTCAATAGGAGATAGTGGTTTAAATAAATTTGACTTCAGAAACGGAGAGTATTTTCAACATAAGTAATTTTACCATAGAATTGTGTTGTTCTTTCTTTAAGCTTAACATATCATTTGCATCAAGAATTATAGAATTGAGCTGTTAATGAAAGAATCCTGAAATATAGAATGGTTTCCCAAAAGAGCAAACATTTTAATGAAAATAAAACTGACAAATACATGTTTTCATATGTCATGTATGCATGCGTTTAAAAGAATAGACTTGTAGTGGACTTTATTTTCACAACAATCAGAATATGTGTTTATTATTTAGAAATGGTTAGTGACTGGTATCGAAGTATTATTCACATTCTTATGTTTGTAATAATTTGTTGTTGAAAACCTAAAAAATGCCAGCAAGTTAGCATACATCTTTTGTAATGTCTGAAAGAGTTGTATACATTAAAAATAAAATTACCAGCAATTTAATATAAAGCTGCAATTGTTAGTTAATGAAAATAAACATTCCTGTGTATAAATTAATATGATTTAAGATATGTGAATAACAATACTAAAACCTGATTATTGGGGTGTTGGCAGCTGCATACTCATTTTCTGCATTTTTATATTTCTTTACCCAATATATATTTTTTTAATTTACTTTTGAGTACTTTAGTTAGACTTATTTCAATATTATTATGGTATTGATGAATGAAGGAAAGTAAAAAAGAACTAGAGGTGAGGTATTCTGTGGGTAGAAACCAAATGAAAGGAGCCTTGTATCAACTTTAATTTTATGCTTATTTTGGTAGATCTAGTAGCATTTTTCCCTAATCCTTATCAATAAATATATAGGCAAATTTTGAATATTATATGTGTTTTTATGAAAGTATTTAAACCTAAATTGCCTCCTACTGCACTGATTGAAGCAACATGTAAAACAGAATTTCATAATCCCTTCTTTCTTATTTGCCCATTTTTAAACCCTATATGCCAAAGGTATACGATAGTTTGGGGATTGTCAAAGTTTTCGTGTACTTGTATATTTGTGGCCATACATGCCTCATTAGAATGGTTCTTTGTAAACAACATTAATATTTTAAAATATTTACGAAGTATAGCATTTTTTAAGTTTGGGAAGTTTTCAAAATAGTTATATCCTTTCAATAGTCTCTTTCTAGTATTTACCAGGAGTGGGAGGTAGAGAAAAGAACTAAGGTGGAACATGAGGTGAGGTGAATGAGAGTGGGAGGTTCTCCCAACAGTGTTTTCAACCCTCCCATCGCCTTATCCCAACATGCAAAATGGAAGCAGGTTTTCTTATATTAATTGGTTGTTCATATGCTTCTATATTATTTTTCAAGTTGAAGTTTCTTCACTTTATTAGTATGTCCTTAATATTTGCAATTCTGTGGCCTTTAAATAGAAGACATTATATAGTACGGGTTGTGACTCACTTTAAAGTGTCTTGTATATTATAACACATTCTGAGGGAAAAAAAAGGCAAATAATTCTTTTGGGTGTTTTCCTATCCTTTATTTTGTTTTTTTCTTTTTGAATTCAAGTGTTTTATATGCCTGGAAAAGGGACACATATAATAGCAGGTTTGGTTATTTCTGAGCTGGAAAATGGAAAGTTTTAAACTCAGGAAATTGCTCTGACAATGTTTTAACTGCTCTTAATTTGAGAAAATGAAAAAATGTGTAAGAAAGACAAAAATAATGCGTGCTATTCTTCCAAGTGCTTTTTAAGTGTTTTTTCATTGTGCAATGAGGTGAAGTTTGGTAATTTTTCTGTGTGCAGTAATTAAAAATTATTTATTTTTATTTACATGATAAAACATAAATGTTTGTGTGGCCAAACAAGTGCCATTTAAAAGGTAGCGTAAGTTTATGTAGAATGTATGTTAATGGTGCTTACTTCTTAAATGTAATTCAAATTTACAATATTACTTAATGCCTCTTTACAGTATTTGATAAACAAGAACATATCTATATCCTGAAGAGCCTTTTATAACTTCACATTTTCTGATGACAGATTTTATTATTATTATTTTCCTTGAAAGAAGATTTGATATTTATGGTCCAACTGTGATGAACCTGTTATTAGTTAATGTAATGATTGAAGTAACAATGAGGTTTCTCATTAAAATACATTATTGCAGCTATCAGTTGGAAAACAAAATTTTCAGACAGTATATCAGAGACAAAATGTTTTATTTGTACTATAAAGAAAATGTAATTTTGCTGTTAACTCTGTATTTTTTCTATTGGAAATTTTTTATAACTTTGCTATTAAAGTTTTTTATGAACTATTTGGAAATTATATACTTAATTTAATAAAATATTTTAGCCACAATGCAGTGTGAGGAAATCTTTCATTTGATGTGGTAGGCTTTGTAGTTTAAATATTAAAATATATTCTATGTGTAACTATGCTCATGGGAAAAGAGTCATAAAAATATTATTTCTAAATACATGGCTTATGTTCTAATTTAAATTGTTTTGCTGTAGCAAATAGGGATCTAACTTTTGAACTAGCCATGGTTTCTGTCTTCACAAACTTGTACCTTTTTGACTGACACAAAAAATTAAGAATAGTGCCTCTTAGGGGCTCCAGTCACACTTTAGTTAACATGAAGGGTCTTTGATCTTTACTCACCTCTAAAACAGAGTAATTC